CATCTATTAAACAATTATCTTCAATACCTATATATGGTACAATCTGACACTGTCTTCAACAAATCCAAAATATGAATTTTGTATCAAAACTTAGCTGTAAAAATTTTTTTACCAATCTAATGTATTTAATACTCAATGCGGTTTGTGTTATGACAAAAATCGCAAGTTTTAATGAATAGAATCACAGCTAAATTCAAAACAGAATTCTGTAAGTTTGTGAGATCATATTTGTGCACCAACAATAACTCAAACAAATTCCTCTTGCTGTCATCACATCTATTAAACAATTATCTTCAATACCCGTGGTTGGTACAATCTGATATTATCTTCAACAAAATACAAAAACAGGAATTATTTGTCAAAACGTAGCTGTAAAATTTTTTTCCACTGTTTTGATGTATTAAAGTATGTGAAAAAAGTAAAAACAGTATGCTTGTAGGGTCACAAGATTATATTTGTGCAAAATCTGGTCAAAAAATTCAAGCATTTATTTCATTTAAACCGAGTGCAAGCCGACACTTATCACAAAACCATTGCACTGGGAAAATCTGTGAAAATGGATAAATGCCAAAAGAATCGAATATTGCGATAAAAAAGCAGGCAAAAAAAAAACAAAATAAAAAAGAAGTAAAAATTTACCAAAAAAATTTCCAAAGATGCAAGAAACGATACCTTAAAAATGATTGATCGTGCAGCAATAATTTGAAAAAGAAGCTAAACAAAGACAACAACAAAATGAAGAACTGAAAATGATTGATAAATATCAAAAACAACAAGCAAAAGAATTAGAAAGGATTCAACAAAAAAAACAACAAGCACAAGAAGAAGAAAGGAAAAAGAAGAATTTAATTGAACAATGTAATAGTTATTTTGATTTGATTTTATTATCATATGACATTTACAAAGATGAGAGAGTTAAATACTGAACGTTTTAGTAAAATAGTTGAGATGTATTAGACGTCATTGTATTCAGAAAAATATTTCACTTTCTCTTCAGCAGCTTTTAATTCGTCTGTCATCATTTTGATATCACACTCTGATACAGTTTGCTTTAATAATAATTTTGGAGTTCATCCAAATTAGCTTGTGCTAATATTAATTTCACTTGGGGCTTTTCTTTTACTTTTTCATAATCAATTAATGAATGTCTTAAATCATCACATTCATTTCCAAAGCTTGAAAATCTTTTAAATCTGCAATTCGTTTTGATTCAGTTTGCACTGCTATCTCTTTAAATTCTCCATACTCATTTTGCAAATCAGACACTTTTTTAACTTACAAATTAATTCATAGCATTCATCTTGCAAAGCTCTGAAGATCTTTTCGCAACCCAATTTATTTCATATTGCAATACTTTCTTTTTAAATTCTTCATGTTTATTTTGCAAATCAGATAGTTTTTTTTTAACTCAAAAATTTCTGTTTGATTTTTTTCAAGTTCGGCATTTACATCTTCATCTTCACACATAAAATTTCTTTTCTGCCAATTTGATGTGTTTGGACTTGATTTTTCTGATGTGTTTGGTGTTGATTTTTCTGATTCCATTATATGACACAAAACAAGCTTAACAAATCTATGATATGTTAGTTATTCAAACAACGATTCTTTTATATATGAGCAATCGATGATTTTTTCACAAAAATTAATGAATTTCTTATGAATTTAGCATTTCATATAAAAATTAGTATTTTTTGAATAAAAAGGCAAATCATTAAAAAATTTCATAAAATTGTAAAAACAAAACACATTTAAACATGCAAATGTGAAACGTTCAAGGTTATCATGCAAATATAACCCATATATGGTAATAAAAACATGTAGCAGTTCTTCATTGACGTCAAAAAAATGCAAAGCATCCTAATTAGTGACTTCTAGACAGTCACCAATGTCAAACAAATTGAAAAGTCAAGGTTATGTTCCAAATTTAACCAAAAATTAGTATCAACTTGTACCAAGTACAACTAAGGGCAATCATACCATAAATGGGAAAAATGAAAGAAAATGCAATTTTTTACAATAAATTTGAGTAGTATATAAGAGCATAATCGTGCAAAATCTCTTTATTATCAAGAAAATGGAATCAGACAAATTATACAGATATTTTTTTTTTTGAAAGAGGTAATAAACAAAAAACGTTTTGAAATATTTATGGAGAAAAATAAAGAAAAAAATTCAAAAAGAAAAAAATTCACAACTATCACTATAAATTAGATCATCATATTGTAAAGAAAATCAAATTCAAGAAGAAAAAAGAGAAAATGAGCAAGTACAGTACCGACCACGAGTAACATGACATGACTCGCGAGTATCGAGTGGGCGAGTGACTCGCGAGTCAATTGCAAGTCACTCTCGAGTGTGAGAAGTTTGCGAGTGAATAAGTGACTTGCTGTTTGCAAGTGAATAAAATAACTCGCAGTTTGCGAGTGAATCGAAATTACTCACAAAAATTTCTTTCTCCAGTATTTGAAATTGACAAACATAATCTTAAAGTGGTACTAAAACGAAAATTTTGCCTCCCGTTTTTTTTTCATAGATAATAGTGTATGTAAAAAAATCTCTTCTGGCGAAATTTTAGCGCAATGTATTTAATGCTGCTCGAGTTACGTAGCGATAAAACTTGTACTTTAAGAGCCGCCATTAAAATGCGCCATATTTGAATTTTCAAGAAGGAAGGTCTTGTGACGTCATAGTCTTAACTCGCGGCTGTTTACAGGTCGGCGTTAGATCATAGGTGAGATATGCACATATACGAAACTGCGCTTAATTGCGGTCAGCAGTAACAATCCACCCAGAACTCTTTAAGATTGCGCGCTTTCACCGCGAATTTTTAAAAAACAACAATGGACTCGTGCTGTTCTTCGATTAAAATGTTTTCATGGCAGAAAGACATATGGGAAAATTTTGAGGAATACAAAAAAGACACGCGCTCGGGATGGAGATGTGTGAGTTCAAATGCACTTTTCGGTAAGTATGTAATCATTGTAATGTCTACAATAATCACATAACTTCACGTCAGAATTCATACAATATATTATATTTAATCGTGCCGTCCGAGATTTCGATTGTTGCGATTATATAAAGCATGAATGAACAAATGATACACTTTTTCATTGCTAATTATTATTGTAGTTTATTATCAATAATTCTGCAATTTGAGAGATTAATACTGATCAAAGGGCTCATATTTTCAAGGCAAAACCATTAAAGAGGTGATGAATTCTGGAAAGTCTTTGTCAAGGGTGCAATGGAGCCTTTCCAATCCAGATGGAATTTCATACGCCTTTGATGGAATTCCATTTATTTGTATTGGAACATTGAATTATCATTGTCATCAAGGTGAAGATATTGATAAAAGTACGAAAATAAAAGAGCAAAGGAAAGAGATGAAAATGAGGTACTTACAACTCTATATCGTCACTTTTACTACACACATTTTCACAAATTTACCAGTGACAGCCCTGGTTCTTTGTTCTAACATATTTTTGTCGTTTGTTTTTTTAGGGTCACGATCACACGTTTAGAAAACGGAAAAAACATTTTCAACCTACCAAAAATTGGATGTCCGAGCAAAGTATATATGTCACGGATTTTAAATTCCCACAGTACAAGGTAAGATAAAATTCGGTTCATATACTTAAGTCAAACTGATGTCTAGTTTTCAACAGCAAACTTAAAATTTCTGAAGTATTAAATCCCACGTTCTTTAATGTAATATGACAATTTAGGTTGAGGTTTCCTCTGGTGCTATAAAACCACGAAGAAAAATGCAAGAAAGAACATCCTTATTGAAAAACGCGTTGAAATCGTGGGAAAATCTGATTATTGAAGATACGTTTCTCTTGAAGCTTCCAAGTATGGATAGTCATAAATATCATGTGACGAAAGGAGAGGTAAAATCTTCACTAATTAAGATGAAAAAAACGGCTACATTTTTAGTAAACAAAATATACCCAAATTTCCAATAAACACAGGTAGCAGGTTTGAGAGAGCCAATAGATGCACAAGTAGTGCAAAAAAGAAAAGAAATGCAAGTCATAGGTGTCCGCAGTGTTGCCGAAGTACGTCGGCATTTGGAAAAGTTTGTAAATGGGCATTTATTCAATAGTAAAGATTTGCCAGCTGAGTCAAGCCGCCGTTATTATCCAACAGACGTCGATATAAGGAACATCTTAAATGCAACCCGATCTGGAAAACAAAGATCTCCAGATGACCAATTAAATTTGGAGACAAAATCATCTGAGTGGCATGAGTTACATCCCGAAGACTTTATCTTTTACAGGGTAATGTATCATTGTCTACCTTGCGCTAACAAAACTTGCCATATTAACTCCAGTTGTATAATTTTTACTTATTTAACAGCCATTGACGGCGGAAGATGAAAACACGTAAAAGCACTTTTTATTTGTGTATCAAGCGAAGTGGATGAAGCGCCTATTATTATTGTACGGGCAGGAGATGTGTCTCATGGATGCTACATACAGAACATGCAGGTAAAGAGATGTGATGCAAATACTATTCAAGCAGGAAAAAACTGTGAACACATTTTCCATTGTGATAGGTACGCCTTGCCACTCTTCTTTTATGCGTCAGATCAAATGTTGGATACATTGTCGTCGCAGTTTTATTCCAGAAAATGAAGACACTGGCTCAATATCCGAGGTACTCGAATATTGAGCAGGGAAAATCAGTGGAACCCCAGAAACATGATGGTGGACTTCTCACTGGCAGAAATTTCCGCGATTGAAGAGTGTTTTCCTAGTAAGAAAGAATAGCCATATATATGACAAAACACAATCATTGGTGGACATAAGGAACTCATTCAAATAAAACACTTACTGCCATGTTAATGAATTCGTTGTACTCATGAAAGAGCGACGTGTGATTGTGTAGTTATCTAAAATAAAATAATTTTGCACTGTCAATCATAAAATGTTACCCCTAGTTTTACAAATTTTAAAAACATTTTCTTTCTAATTGTTAAGAAACGCATGTCCACGTGTGCGATTTTCACCGCGAAAAAGCCTGGGGTGAATGGTTATCTAAAAGTAGTAATGGTGTGAGTATGTATAAAGATGAAGTGTTGAGGCACTTGCGAAACATCGCCCAGAGTGAAAACCAAGCCACTCTTGATGAGAACATCCAGGCACTCAAAAAAAGCAGGCCATGGAAGGAATCAGTCCAACTACAAAACTATTTTTTAGACTTTTGGGGTTTATACTTAGAGGTAAGACTCACAATACCAAGAAGGAACAATAAATTATGCTCCCAGGAAAACACACATGCTTATATGCCCTTCAGACGTACATTGTCTATTATGTTATAAATATAGTTATGAATGTATTTACCACCATACTTAAATTAAAGTATTTGTTGCATTATTACTGACTTTATGCTTTAGAAATGGGTTCGCTTTTTTCGAGATGAACATCTTCGTATTGCAATTTATACAAACAATGGTATCGAAAGACAAAATAACTGGCTCAAGCACTCATATCTCGAAAGTAGACGAAATAACTCGGTGTCTGATCTGGTTGACGTAATAATCAACCATTTTTTACCTGATAGTTACAAGAAGTAAGTGATGGTACAATATCCGCTCCTTGAGAATTTGTACAACTTGATTATGATCGTCTTCTTTAAAATTTTGTAAGTTTTCTCATGTACGTATGGTAATTTTACATAGATACAAAGAGCAAAACATTCGATGTACGTCATCATATCGAGGCTACGATGATCGTGTTCCAAAGTATCTCCACGACCGACCCAGAGGTGTTGTTCAACATATCATCAGTAGAATCGACTCTGGCATCCAGATTTCAAACATTAAAAAAGAGACTCCAAAGCTTTTCATCGTACAAGGAGCAGAATGCGCATACCAAGTAAGGCTTGGCTCAGACGAAGAGTTACCATCGTGTCAGTGTCTCGACTTTCGAACAAAGAAACTTCTCTGCAAGCACATATGCGCAGTTGTTCAACAGCCAGACATAGGGTGGGAATCATTGGGCAGAAAATTCGACAAGTACCCCTGTTTACTTTGGATAAAGTGATAACTCAACGGTCTTCCTCTTCCGCTACAAAACCATCGTCAAATTCAGAATACACACCTGAGCAACACATAATAGAGAAAAGGATAGTGATCAGGTAATACATGTCAGCAAATCAAATAATAGAAACCTTTCTTACCGGAGAAAGTCTAACATACGTAAGCAATGCATCCAATCATTGAAGAGTCTTCAAGATGAACTGTATGTGGTTACAGATAGGAACGTTCTGAGTAAAGCCCTGGTTATGCTTGACGAAATAATTGCGTACACAAGGAAGAATCATCCTAATGAAGAGGGTGTATCGTTGAAAGACAAGTCTTTGTCACCTAAAAAAAAACAGGTGATAAAAACACAGGCTCCAAAAGCAGACAAAAACTCGCCAGTTAAAGCAGAGAGCGAAAAAAAAAATTAGTAAAAGAGTTGGTGCAGTTGCTGAAGCTAGGAGCAAAACAATTCTAATAGATGATGATGGTGGAATAAAAGAGGAAAGAAAGAGGAATATACACAGTGAGTTATCACATGGAAAAAAAGTAAAAAAACAAAGAAGGGATTTTTCAGAAGAAACAATCAATCCTCATGACTGCTGGGTAAAGATCAACGGCATTGGATTGACGTATCGGCAAAAAGAAATATTGGCGAGTAATTGCGGATGGCTAACTGACGACCATGTTGATGCTGCACAACATCTCATCAAAAACATGGAAACAAATGTTGGTGGCCTTAATTCCATTGTGACAATGACTTACTCCAGTAGATTCGCGCTCCCCCATGAGCAAAATCAAACCATTCAATGCCATAATACTGGTTTACACTGGGTCACGTCAAGCTCCATCACAGGAAAAGTCATTGTCTATGAAAGTCTAAACACCAGCTTGAATGCTTCTTTGAGACGGCAAATCATTAATTTGTACAAAGGACTTTGTCTTGACGATGGCTCACTTGACGTTACGGTGGTACTTCAACAGCGTCAGAAGGGAGGATCTGACTGTGGCCTATTTAGCATAGCAAATGCAGTCGCACTTGCTCAGGGGATAGACCCTTGCAAGATTTCGTGGTTACAGCAAGATATGCGTACCCATTTGATGAAATGTTTCAAGCAAAAGAAATTGGAAATGTTTCCACATCGTGTGAATTCTGCAGTTTGTACACTAAGTCATTACGTCATCAGTGTATACTGTGTTTGTTTTCGCATATCCCTGGAGCTGAAATGGTTTACTGCAATAACTGTAAGAATTGGTATCATCATCAACCTCCTTACAATTGCATCAAACTTTCTGTAAAGCAAAGTACAGCATTAGTAACAGATAAACCATTCTTATGTTCATATTGTGAAGTATCTTGCTAAATTTTCTAAAGAGGAGCTCTTCCTTTTCTTTCTGAATTGTTTCACAACAGTTTATTAAATCTTAAGAATTACAAATTTTTATAAGTAATGCAGTATGTGACTATCTGTAAATTTCATTAAGATCCCTGTTCAAGGAGATGCTTAGCTGTGTAAATATTGTGCACATATAAAATAATTTGACAAGTTCAGCTCTTTCTTCTAATATATGTATGGAACAAGTTAAATAATCATGTAGGTTAGTAACTATTAAAGAACATTTTTTAACACATATTAGCAAAATGACATCATAAACTGTAACATCTCATAAGAAATCGTGCATCTAAGTTTCCCAGATTCCCTGACTTTAGACATATCTTTGAACTGCAAAGGTGTAATAGGCTGTGTAGCCAAATACATGAACAAATTGAAAACAGTTTGCCGGGATTAGGTGAAAACTAAGGTGTTTGCAATTTGCAATATATACCATACAGTTCATCAAGATTACAATCTTTTTTCACTATGGACAACTTGTTAGTTTGATAACTAGTGTTTATGCAAAAATAACTCAAATTTCTGTTTTTTTATTACCATCTGTTGCACAGAAGGGTTAATGATTAATGATGTACTGCTCCTTTGAAAATATTAATATATATTAATATAAATATCATAATCTCATGTATATTGGTGTCATACAATTAATATAAACGTCATAACTTCATAAGGAATTTCCTAACAAATTTGTAATTTTAAAAATTAACAAATTATATAACCTGTTAGAGCTAAACCATTGTTGTTTGGTTTATGTAATATCATGATTCTTACATGTCAGTTTATACTTTTGGAAAACCTCTTAAAACATTATATCAAATGATCATAGCAAGCTTCTTGTAAACAATCCAAAATTAATGAACAGAGGAAGTTAAGAAGTTTGATGCATAATTTAGAAAAACATGGCACTAGAATAACTAAAATTTAATATAACAAACATTTTGAAATCAGCAAATCGTGAGAATAATGATTGCAATGAAAAATGTTTCATTGCAAAATAAGGTTTATTTCCATATGTGGGTTGAAATTATCTCGATTCCCAATGTTATTCAACCATACTTTTGTCTTTCAGATAGATGTTATTGTAAACAAGATAAAATTTCGTAAACCAACCTTGTAGTTCAAGAACAATCTTTGAATTCGATCATGGTTTAAATTTGTGTTGCAACATATATATATATATATGAGAAAACCAATAAATATAATACAATATACAAAACGGTACAAAAAACCGAATAATCCACGGACGCATAACGCTTATTCGCGATTTACATGGAAAGAGTCACTGTGGAATACCGCAGACCAACATTAAGCGCAGTTTCGTATATGTGCATATCTCACCTATGATCTAACGCCGACCCTGTTTACAATATAACACTATATACAAATAGAGATATAAAAGGTTGTATAACTCAATTTTTTAACATGCCTTCAACACGCTGTGTCGTGCAAGATTGCAGTAATACGTCTGATAGAAGTATTCATTACATAAAAGCCCAAACGACGAGTCTTTAAGAAGAATTTGGGTTAAATTTGTTGAGACGAAGCGCGCAAACTTTAATCCGAGTTCGCGCGAAATTCGATTTATGATTTGTTCGAATCACTTCTCGGATGATTGTTTTGAGCGTTTTTTCCATTTGGGTGGTATGACTAGACGGCTCAAACCTGGTGCCGTACCTACTATTTGGAAGAAATCGCCAACACCAACAACGTCAAGAGAGCGGCGTCAGGTTAGCACAAGTTACAACTATTATATACTTACACATATTGCAGATGATAAATTTTCACAATTTGAGAGAACCAATAATACATCCAGGCAAACTTTCAATATATAATATACATTTATACTAAGGTTTTAAAGGAAATACAAAATGAAGTGTCTGTATCATGCATGAAGAAAGAAGATTCGTGCTATTTTCAAGAAGAAAAAGGCACAACTGAAATTCCAGACCAATCTGAGAATGATGCATACGTAAAGCCAACAATTGCTCTTCACACATACGTGCACTTCGTAAAACAACTATTCCTCAATATTCTTACAGGACCAACAGATCACGCCCGATGCACCTAATTACACGGAAAACAAAGAAAATGAACCGGTTTGTATCTTTGAAATATATTTTTGTATAACTTTTGTAGACATTTTTAAACTTTCAGGATCATGCTACGGCGTCCTGTGAGAGTTGCAAGAAAAAAGATAGTGAATTAAAGATGTTGCATGGAGAACTTACAAAACTGCACACGAAATTAGCTATCAATCAAACGCAATGGATACGGTCGACTAATTTAATAACAAGAGAAACTGTAACCGATGAGAGAACTGACCCCAGTATACATTATTTACGTTTAAAGTTTCAATTCACAAAAGGAGACTATAGTAATAAAAACAAATTTCAATGTTTTTTCAGATAAAAAGAATCCTACGACAGAACATGTTCATTTACAAGATGAAAACGAAGGCTAGTGTTAAAATATCAACGGCTCACACTTCAAGAAAAACAGCATGTATAAAAAAACCACTACATCTTTGTGGTAATTTAGACCAGATTTCTGAAGAACTTATGGAGGATATGGACACATATATGTGTGATAGTGAAGAAACGAAACAGAAAGATCCATACAATACAGACCCTCTGTGGGAGCCTGAGCAGTTGAGGAGGGAATATGAGAACACTGCAGACGATGATGATAATTTAACTCGCAATCGGTAATTTAAAATAATGCTTTCTATGCGTGTATGTGTAACAAGTTTTGTGATAATTTCTGCATTTACAGTAATGTTTCTTTCATTATCAGAGTAAATGAAGGAACAAACAAGAGATGAGCCAAAGGGAATTGTTTTCCTTTCTCAGCTACTTTTGCTTTTTCAACACTGTCATCATTGCTTTCACCCCACCCAAAAGTGAAAACAAGTTGTTGTGGCACTCTGTTGATTATTGAAAGTCAGTGCAGTAACTGTAAAGAAAGCTTTACCTGGAAAAGTCAACCATATCTTTTTGGAAAGTTTCCAGCTGGCAATATTTTGCTTAGTTTTGCTATTTTGTGTGCAGGTGCTTCAGTAAAAAAGGTGAGGAAGTATGTAGCAATGTATCATCTCAATCACAGATATTCAGTACTCCATAAACCAATGGCATTGTACAGGTACTTCAAGTGTTCAAGAACATGGGGTTGATCAGCTACAGTGAAGTCGCATATTATTATCACCAGAGACACTTTCTGTTTCCTTCCATTGTTTTATATTGGCGTTATATCAAAAAAGATATTGGAATCTCTAGAAGGAAAAGAAGTTGTATTGTCAGGAGATGGGCTGCATGACAGTATGGGTCATTCAGCAAAGTATGGCACATACACAATATTTTGCTGCACAATTGGATTAATCATTCATTTGGTTGTTGTACAGGTAGTTTTACTGGCTAACAATAAAATTAATTTGTTCCAAATACTTGAACATATGTCACTCACATTTTTGTCAAAGGCAAACCAAGCAGGGAGTAGTTCAGCTATGGAGGCTCTTGGTCACCAAAAGGCCATGTCATTTCTCCTTACAACTGGCCTAATAATAACAACATTCGTATCAGATCGACATGCCACCATAGCCAAATGGATGAGGGAAACATGTCCAAAACTGTGCAAAGAATTGGGGAAACCAGTCATCCAGCATTTCTATGACCTGTGGCACATTGGAAAAAGTATTAAGTTATATATATACCTACACCATGACATATCAGTGAAAATTGTTTACAACAGCATGTTATTCTTATCTTATAGAGATTCAGAAGATCATGATTACATTGGCAAAAGAAAAGACTGCCAAATCCTAGGAAGATGGAGAAAAGCATGCACGACATTTCTATTGGGCTGCTACATCTACTTTATCTGGAATTGGAGAAGTTAAATGGGCCAAATTTGAATCTTTTTCTATCACATTTTGAATAAACACAAAGACTTCCCAAATAAGATTTACAGCAGATGCAGTCACAGTGATGTCCTAAAGCCAAGAGTGTGGTTAACAAAGGGTACAATATTTTGAGTTTAAAAGAATATCATTACATTTGTTCACTTCAATACGCTAACTCTAAGCAACATGATAAAAACCCAAGTAAGTCAAATAGTTGGAATAATATTCATCTAGGATCTGTTGCTTATGAAAAGTTGAAAGATGCACTTACCAAAAAGAAACTTGTTAAAGCTATCAAACAAGCATCTTCTGTTGCCCAGACCAGCTGTTTGGAGGGATACCATTCAGTTGTTAATCATTTCGCACCAAAAATTATTCATTTCTCTTATTCTGGCATGTATTGCAGGTAAACTAAAAATCACAGTTTGATAAAATTCAAGGGAAAGAATATGTGATAATGAAATAAAGTTAACTAATAATTTTCATTGTAGGTCCATCTTAGCAGCATTACATTTCAACTTTAATTTGCGGAGGGCTAGCAAGACTACACTTGATGGCGAAACTTGTCTTCGGTTCACATATACAAAGTATAAGGAGGGAGAAGGAACTGTACGAAATGTTAGGGTGAAGCAAGACTTCTGTGAGTTTAATTGATGAGCATGAGAAATTAAATGCATGTGTTGTATTTACAAAACACTAATGGATTATTTACCAATTTTGTTGAAGCATATGTTGAAGAAATTTATGACACTTTGCTGAAGACTCCAAGGAAAAAGCTTGAAGAAGTTGAAAATGAATTGAGGAGACACACTCCAGAGCCAATGCACATGATGCTTTCTGAAAAGCAAGCAAAAGTTGATGCAATTACCTTGTTTCGTTCTCGAAAACGTAAACTTAACACTGACTGTCCCCCCACATGCACAGATGAAGAATTACAAGATTTGCTTGGTACAGGTCAAGAGCATACAGCTAAAAAAAGAAATCCATTGTGCAAGAAATGTGCAAAGCCTATGAAAGGTCACAAGAAGGGCAGTTGTCAATAATATAAATGTATATTTGTAAATTTTGTAAATATACCACCTATAATAGCTTTTTCCATCACCTTTTTACATTGCTATATGTCCTCATCCTCTTGAATCCTTTGTAAGGAAGACACTTATTGTTCGAAATGTCGTCCGTATTTTGTTGTAACAACAACAAGGCAGTGGCAAATGTCTGAGCTGCCTGTAAAGTCCCATACAAGACGCACGAGTTGTCTGTACGATACTGCTTGAAAGAACCTATAAATTTCAAAAGTAAACATAGACGAGGCCCACAAAATAATATTTTTAGAATTTTCACAAAGAAAAAGGCTTACTCCTCTCTGGTCTTTTGACCATCTCGAAAAACGGTCGCATAACTGCGATGACCTTTGGTCTTTAAACCTAACGAAGCTGCTTGAAGAACAAATTCGTTCAGGCAAACTTCTATTCCGAAAAATTGACCTCCGTCCCAATGTGTTCGGAACACGAAGAATAATCACAATCACAACTTGGTTTCATAAACAATTTTTATTATTACTTCTTAAAGTATCTCGCTTCCCTCGCTTGTCTCTTTCGTCTCGTTTGTATCGCATGTCTCACTTCTCTCACTTCCGTTCTCTGCTCTCTCTACTTCCGTTCCACTCATGTTTTCTATATTGTTCTTTATCGTCCCCAACGTACCCGAATGTACAATTAAAACCCAACACAACTTTAACATAATTTGCAACACCCTCCCCCACATGTGACTACGAATGAGTCACATGTTATATCACTTTGTCTCGAAGTTTATTTCATTCCTGTTCCATTAGCTCCTGATTTATCGCCTCCGCAACCACAGCAGCTTGTCGTCTTGGTCTGAATTCTTCGGCGTTCACTCGCAACTTCTTTTGATGGTTGCTGACGTCGCATTGTAATTCTAAAGGATAGATCAGTTGGATTGGTCTCTCAAGAGATAATTTTCCACACTGAAGTTTGACTCCTCTCACAACTCCATCCCTTCCACGGATCAACATCGTTACCTTTCCGATCTTCCACATATTTCTGTTTTTCTCATCACCCTTAATTAAAACGATATCTCCCTCTTTCGGATGAGATTCGGTTGCCGATTTGTTAACTTGATTGCGTTGGCGTAGACTTGTTAAATATTCTCGCTGCCATCTGTTCCACAATTGGGTTTTGATTTTGTGCAAATACTTTGCTCGCTTCCGTAATTCACCGTCCTTAATGTGATGACTCTCCATCTCAGGGATGACATTCGTCTGTTGCAGTACGAACGAAGATGGCGTCAGTACGGGGAGTTCAACATCATCCTCTACATAGCTCAATGGTCGATTGTTCATACAAATTTCTACGTCCAGAACAACTTCTGCCAGTTCATCGAATTTCAGAAGTCCTTTACTAACGACTTTGTAAAATGATGATTTGAATACACCGATTAATCGCTCAAACTGGCCTCCCCACCAGGGTGCGCGGGACAGATTGAATCTCCATTTAATGCTATGTTTACTGAACTCGTTGTGAAACCTCTCGTCTTGCATTGCTCTCTTTAACCATGCTGCTGCAGCTTGGAACGTTTTTGCATTGTCCGAATAGATCAGCGAAGGACGACCTCGCCTTGCTATGAGCCGTTTTAGACTTTGCAGGAAAGAAGTTGTCTCAAGACTCTTCAACAATTCAAGATATACTCCTCGCGTCAAACTACAGGAAAAAAGCACTAGATAGGCTTTTCCTTCTTGATTTTTCTTGACTTTATACTTAATCAGACCGGCGAAATCGACACCAATGACTTTATGGTGTGGTTCCTTCTGTTCGAGTCTTTGGTAAAGGAGCAGGTATTGGAGCTTGATACGGTTTGGTCGTGAATCTCTTGCATCTGTAGCATCTCTTCCTTTGCTTTTTGACTAATCGACGAAGCCGAGCAACCCAATACCTTTCTCGGACCTTTGCCATCGTAAGTATAACTCCCCCATGGAGTGTTTCCAAGTGTGCATCTTCCACTAACTTCACGGTGAATAGAGCGTCATCAGGCAAGTAAATAGGGAACTCTCCTTGTATCCGACCGTGACATCTTAAAATCTCGTCATCGTCGGGTTGTACATTTAACTGAATCAGATCCGTTTGAGACTTTGGGTTTTCTGCGACTCCGCTTGTACCATTTTTATCCATGACATGTTTTGCTCTTCCACTTCTTCAAATGTCAGTGGCCCGTGCTTTCTATTATCTCTGTTTTGTCGAGCATTATCAATAAATCGTTTCACCCACGCCCCAATACGAATCGCCTTCCGCAATGGATGTGTTTCAAGAATATCACTGAATATTGCCAAGTCTGACCGCTGGATAGCCGTGCTCAAAACTACTCTCGTCGCCTTTGCTTCACTTTGGGAGTCAGTCGACGGTTTGACTATAAGATCTGGTGGCCAAAGACTACGCTCTGATAGCCAGGCAGGACCTTTCATCCACATCTCGGTCAGTTTGCCACCTCTGCTTCCGAGGTCGGCCGGATTGTCGGTTGTTGGCACATGATGCCACACGATCTCATTAGAAGCTCGGATTTTTGCCACTCGATGCGACACGAATTGTTTATAATCACCCTCTCCTTTAATCCACCATAAAGCTACAGTACTATCTGACCAGCAGTGTTTTCTGTGTGGAATGTGTCTCAGCGCATTGCTAGCATTCGAGACCAAATTTGCGGCCATATGACTTGCAACAAGCTCTAACCTCGGGATAGTCAGTCCTCTTTTGGCAAGTCTTGATTTCGCTGCCAGTAATTCCTGAGTAACTCCAGATGGTTGTTTAGCGACTGTGTAGACGACTGCGCACAAACCTTCACCGCTGGCATCCCCAAATCCATGAATCTCTAAGCTACAGACGGGTTCTTGGAACGACAGAACCGCTCTTGGCACGGTCACTTCGCTTGGTAAGGTGTTTTCCCACTTCTCCCAACTCTGCTTCAATTTACCAATCAATTCTGCGTCCCAGGGTAATTTCAGGTCACACACCTCTCGATAGATTTGTTTGCCTTGCAAAAGCAGAGGGGATGCAATTCCTATTGGATCATAGATCTTCGCCAGTCGACTTAAAATGTTGCGCTTCGTTGGCGATTTCCCACAATGTCCTATTTGTACACTTAACGTATCTTTCTCTTTATTCCACGTTGTACCCAGGATCTTCGTCTCAGTTGGCTGCACCCCAAATTGTTGTTTGGCCGCTGTTTGCTCTTCATGATTTTTGTTAACACTACCTTCATCTAACTCCTTTGCATTTGATGCCCACTTATGAAGGGTAAAGTTTGCGTCACCCAGAATGTCAATAGCTTCCAATTTCCTTTTTTGTGCTTCCTCCACAGTGCATCCTCTTGAAATGATGTCATCAACGTACAGACACCTTCTCAGAGCCTCAACTGCGTCTGGAGCTTTGCTTTTCCAGTGATCCAAATGTGTTTCGAGAACTCCCCCAAGTAGGAATGGAGAAGAAACCAATCCAAACAATACTCTCGTGAACCGTAGTACTTCTACATCAGCCTGTGGATTTGGTCGCCAGTGAAATCTTAAAGAATCCCGTTCACTTTCGCGTACACGAATTTGGAGAAATGCCTTTTGAATATCCCCAGTGATTGCAACAGGAAAACTTCGCGCTCTTACCAGCACTTCCCACAGCTTGTTATTGAGCGAAGGTCCCGCGTACAGGCATTCGTTTAACGAAGGACTTTCTGGTGAAGCTTTTGCTGATGCATCGTACACCACTCTCAGTTTAGTGGACTGCGCTGACTCGCGTACGACTTCTTTGTGAGGTATGTAGAATTCATTACCTTTTGCTACGTTAGTTGCTGGTTCAACTATGCCATTGTGCTTTTGGTCTTGGATTACTGCGTTGTAATCTTCAGTTAATTTCTTTCGCTGTAATCGTCGCTCTAAAGATTCCAACCTTCTGATGCTTCCTGTTTTGTTTGATGGGAGAGGTGGATGATTTCCACGCCATGGAAGACCGGTCTCGTACCAGCCCTCTGGTGATCGCGTTAATTGCTCTTTGAATTCGTTATACACCATTGATTGGTCGTGTTCAGCAGTGTCTGCTAGGCCCAGCACATCCAATCTGCAGAGATCTTCATAATCCTTCTGCGAAACTTGGGTAAGCAACATCCTTTTACTGTTTGGTTCCACACCAGGGCTCATGGCAAACCATCCGAGTTTTGTTTTTCTGCAATTGGTTGCCCTCAGTTCCCACTAGTGGATTCGTGCGAGTTTTTATCCGTGCATATTCCCCGCTTCCCAAAACGATATGGACAGGTAATTGAGCTTTCTGATCATTATCAACAAATTTTGCATTCTTCAGGTGTTCAAACTCTCTTTGTAAGTTTGCATAGTTTGGATTGTCCACTGTGAGTAGCTCTTCTTTCTCCACCTTGATCAACTTCACCTTCATTGAATAATCACTGTCTATTGCTTCAACTTCCCCTTCATAGATTTCCAGTCTTGTTGTTTTTGATGTTAGAAGCATGTCAACTTTAGTGGTTTGTGTCTCAATTGGTTTCACCTTCAGCATAGATGCAAGTTTACCAGATATGTATGAGCTTCCAGCCCCTGAGTCGATCAATGCACGACATGTAATTCCATTTATCTTGACAACAAGAATGGGGAAAATTCCTTCACCAGTACATCCATCTGTAGTCAACACAGTCTGACCTGTTTTTGGTGGTTCTTCTCGATTGGTGACATCACATATGCTCGTATGGTGTCGTTTGTGGCAATTTCTACATGATGACTTGCTGGGGCAAGCGTTAGCATGATGCTGTCCTGCTGTGCAGTTGAAACAAAGTTTCTTTTTGACTAAAATTGCTCTTCTCTCCTTGACAGTACTGATTACTTTACATTCCCCCCGATTTATGATTTCCTTCACAGTAGACGCACATCCCCTTTTCTTTAGTATGAAAGACTTTCTCTGACCTTCTAGATTTCCATCCAGGTGTGTCTGACTCTTTCTCACAGACTGGATTTCGCCTGGTCCACTGTCTGACTGCTTCAGTAAGCTTGGAAAAGTCCCAACTTTCCCATTCTGGATCATTTCTAACAAGGTCCCCACGTATGGCTGGGAGTTTGTCTAGAGTCATGGAAACATTTCCTTGGACATCTTTCAGTTTACCCAGCGTTTCCAAAGCTTGGACACTGTGATTTAACTTCTCACTAAATTCGGCAATCTTTCTCGGGTTTGCTCTGGAGATATGAGGCAAGTCCATGATCTCTTTTATGTAAGCTTTTATAATTTCCGAATTCTTCCCATACTGATCTTTTAAAATTGACTTCGCTCTATTGTATCCTTCGGTGGTAAAGGGTAATGATTCTACTCGTCGCTTAACTTTGGGCCCAAGGAAACCACACAGATATGTGAATTTGTTGATGGCAGCTATATTTGACTTGTCCACCGTCTCCGTAAATTGTCCCCAAAATCTGGGCCAATCCATGTATTCCCCCTCAAATTTCGTAATATTTATTTTTGGCAATCTCACCGACATACCTTCATCACTTATTTTTGAGTCCCCGAACTTTGAATTTTGGATTTTTGCATTTACTTGAGCCTTTGTTTCTTGAAGCTTTACTTCAAATTTAAGTTGCTCCTCGCGAGCGTGATTTTCCTCTTCTAATTTCTTATTGTTCAGCCAGTGTTGTAGCTTGTTTATTTCGTCTTCGGCTTCGCTTATTTTTGTTTCGATTTCCGCATTCCAATCGCTGATTTCTTCAAGGTCGTCTTCTCTTTCGATTTTCGCTGCTTCTACAGCTCTTTTAAAATTGTCAGCTTCGTTTATAGTTGTTTTGAGTGCGTTCAGTTGTCGTTCGATAGTTTCTCGCTTTCCAGATTCTAATATTTTAGCTGTTCTTTGAGCAGATAACTTTAGTTGAGTTAATTTTATGTTGAGTTTTGCTTCGTCGTTTGCCATGTTTGTATGGCACGTGTAATATCTCGTACGAAATTTTCACAGTTTATCACAATAACAATCCTTCGTCGGTAGGTGCCACGTATTCCGAAAAATTGACCTCCGTCCCAATGTGTTCGGAACACGAAGAATAATCACAATCACAACTTGGTTTCATAAACAATTTTTATTATTACTTCTTAAAGTATCTCGCTTCCCTCGCTTGTCTCTTTCGTCTCGCTTGTATCGCATGTCTCACTTTTCTCACTTCCGTTCTCTGCTCTCTCTACTTCCGTTCCACTCATGTTTTCTATATTGTTCTTTATCGTCCCCAACGTACCCGAATGTACAATTAAAACCCAACACAACTTTAACATAATTTGCAACACTTCGTTAAAGCCAGGGTGATCCAAAATGCATTTCCTTTCATCGACTTCGAACTGATTCATTTTGCCACGGCATTGCTCTATTCCATGCAGCATCGGCACTCTTGAGGGTTGACAACAAGATCCAAGGAACAATGGCCACATTCACACCTTTAATATTGGCCAAATTGTATGTTTCCATAAAGTTATCATAGCTAACGGCAGACGATTCAGATCAAAGTAACACACTAAGAATGACATCTTACCATGAAGTAACATCAACACGGGCATCAAAACGATCTTGCAGCATGTCCTCAACCTGCTGTTCTTCTGCGACTGCAGCTTCGTACTCAGCAATTTCATCGGGCGAAGCAAGCGGTTCAATATTATCGGCAAATGGCAAAATTTCCGAATTAGATTCGTCCAAATTTGCCGTCATGAATTCCGATGAAGAAATCGATGCGTTTGTCTCGATCGAAGACTCAGAAAGCGAACTAGATCTCGATGAATTTGACATTTTTTTGCTCTATTTATGTATTACTTTGTATACTTTCCAATGTGCGCTTCTTGCCGTGTTAAGACTATGACGTCACAGACCTTTGCTGATTGCAAATATTCAAAATGGCCGATTTTAATGGTGGACATGAAAATTAGACATTTCAAATGTTCATAACTCCCTCGTTATACTATTATTTTTGCTTAAATTTTACGAAAGCAATAATTGATATGTGTTTAAACTATTGAATGCTAAAATCGATGATTTTTTAACGTTCAGTTTTCGTCTTAGTTCCACTTTAAGTGTAATAACAAGTAAAATTCGTTCCACATTTTGAAGGCAACGTTTTATATCTTTTTATGAAACATGGGAGCAAAACGACTATTCATTTTGTTAACATGACGTTAAAATCTTTTCAATTTTTTTACAAAAGCATTTTAATAACTTCACATTTCTCATGGCACAAACGTTATTCGTAAAGCAGTAAAGACCATAGAGAAATTAGTGAGAAAATCAAAGTAACTCTCAAAGATTTTCTTCTAACAGTCTTAGATTGTTGACATATATTATCTTAAGATAGAATACATTCAAAAACAAATATTGTTTGATGTCAAATATTTAAGGAATGTAGCTATGAGATGAGTGTGCATATAATCTTTTAAATTTGGTTCTGAAAGAACTTCATTGACTTTACGTTTTCGATGTGTTACACAGACGATATTGATAAAGGCCATAGACATTTAATAGCAATCAATGAAATAAAACCATGTGTATAGTTAATGGCTAGAACTTTTGTGATTCACTTACCAGTAGATATGTTTAAAAATGAGATTAGTTTCTGAAACAATTTCATTGACTTCACAGCACTATACACATTTAATTGCAAGCAACGATAAGCTTCAAAATTTAATACATATAGCTAATTCATGACTTAACTTTTCTTCTTAAAAACTCATCTATTCTAACAATACATTGTTTCCCTTTTTTACCCAAGCAATTCTGATTTTTCCTTTCTTCTGGAGAAAACACTTTTTCTGCCAGAACTTTGGCGAAGTGACCAACAGACAAGGCATTCTGTCTCACCTCAAGGCAAAACTTGTCAAGTTCGGTGTTGCTTGCCGATTCATTGATTTCTTCCAGAGAGGGATTTAAACTTCTTCTGGCTGCAAGTTGAGTAGGTAGCGAATAACCTTGATGAATAGCTTTTGCATTTTCCATGGAGTTGCTTCCGTCAATATTTTTTTTCAGTTCTTGTATGCAGGACAGTGTTTGTTGACAGATGTCTAATATTTGATGTAATACATCGTTCCCACTCTGTTCAAATACACTTTCTTGAAGAAGTGGAAGAACCAAGGATGTCAAGAAAGATATTGCTCCACCGGGAAGATATCTTGCATCTTCTTGAACTGACCTTGATGGTCTTTATTTTGGAGTCGACTGCACTGTCACATTGTCAATAAAAAAAGAATCGTGGTTAAAGCTCCTCGTGTGGCTTTCGTGGTTGAAGCTCCTTAGCGAGTAGCTTGTTCCAAGGTGACTTTCTTGAGCACCATTGGACACAGAGTCGTTAGGGTGTCGACTGGAGGGCTTTCTGAACAAACTAAGATTGGAGTATCCTACTAATATAATTCAGAAAAATAACAAAATTATTGTTCTGTTAAAAATATTCAGAAGTTCACCACCGTTACAGGTATATCGCGTTTAGCAATTCATTAAAATGGATCATAGCAAGCAAATAAGTTCATCATAACTGTTATACCATGTGTATCTTTTGCTTTTTCTTTGCTTCTGCTACTTCCTTTGGCTTTCTTGTCTGTATCTTTCTTTTTTTCGTCGCGCTTCCTGACGTAGCTTCGTCGCTATGATGTGAATGTTTTGTTGCCATAGACTTCATCAAGGTGAATTTCTTCAAGCATTACTTCTAAAACTTGATAATCATCTAAGAAGAATACGAAACGTTAGTAGCTATCGAAAGTGAAATTCTTCATTCAAAAACACCTTTAGGTTTTTAAAAAAAATGTGTCTTATCCAAATACGTGTGACTTACCGCTGAGTCCTACTATTTCTGCATCAAATTTATCTCAACCACTTTTAACAATAACCTTTGATCCACGTTGCTTTAACAAGTCTTGGCCTTCGCATAGTCCACATTTCCGCATATCCATGTTGGAAAAGTGTTGTCCGATGAGAAAAACACCAAAGTAAACTTTTCCTCCATGGACTTCTTCATAGTTCGAAGAGTCATTTTTAAAATAGTAGTTATGTGTGAAAACAGTGTAGAGAGTATTGCAATGATCGGAGATCTAGCTTGGAATGGACAGTAGGAGAAAGGTCGCCAGTTTTTATACTAGCGTCAGCCGTTACTGGCGGATGCCGGAAAAAAATGAATGACATAGTGTGATTCCAAATATCATTTGATGTGAAAAAAATGATGTATGCATAATTGTTTGAATTTGTTTCTGCACAATTTCATCAACTTTATCGACTTAAGATATTTACTCGGACAGTTGCGAGTCACTCGCGAGTGAAAGCTTTTTGGCAAATGAACAAAAATTCCAACAGTATTCTAATTGGGAGGTGACTTTTTCAAACTTTAAGTGGCTCAATTATTTTGTCTTATCGTCTTTTCTTGCGTGTTATAAAGTACAATATAAAGTCATTGCCCTCAAATTAACTGCAAAACATGCACGCAAAGAGGAATATTTATATGAAAAAATAATTGATACACTACTTTTCATAAGAAAACTTACACTGGCCTATTACTTAACTTTTTTTAGCTTCACCTCGCAAAAGTAAAAGACAGGACTGGTTAAAACTCTTATAGACCGCACGGAAAATTAACAACACGTCGACTGGCTACTATCGTGATTTAAATGCTCTCATTGACAATCTCAAACGAAACTCCTTTCCCTCGCCTTTCATAGAAAAAATCATTAAATCATATGACCATGACAAAAACACAAACAAAATAAACACCAGTAACGAACCCACATCTACCTAACTCAAGACTTCTACAAACTACCCAACATTGGCTACATAAAATCGTTGCGAAAACAGAATTTAAAGTTGGGCAATATGTAAGTTTTTATGGCAGTTTAAAGATGGCAAAATAGCCCTTTCGGCTGTCTCACTCCGTGAAAATAATATTCTCTTAAGAGGATGAAACGAATATATTTTGCAACGTCATGCAAGGTACTCGAGCATTTGTGCTATACAAATCAAATAACATCGACATACAAAGCGTCTTTATAACTATTTAGTAGTAAAGATGGTTCTTAGTTGCATAGCCGCTAATTGTACAAATAAGGCCAGTCTCAAAGATGACATAAGCCTTCACAGTATCCCGTTTTTTAACAATGACCGGCCGGAAGCCATAACGCACAGAAAAATATGGGTTGATTTTGTCAAGTGAAAAAGGGTATTCGAGCCTTCAAAATCATCTACACTTTGCTCTGACTAATACAACCTGAAGATTTTGAGATTTGTCTCAAAAGTGCTGCCTCAAGTGCAAGGCACAGACAAATGGTGAGTAATGGTAATTTACTGTATACTCTTATTATTTGTCGAATTATAATATTAGTATATATTAAAAGTACTATATATAGCATAGTATAGAAATGATCTCATTGTTTTTAAACCGCTTTTTGCAGACATAGAATTTCATTAATTTCCTTTGCGTGTAAAGTGTAATCACGCGCGTGTGTAACCTTGGTTTAACAAAGAGATGATTTTTATTGTCACTTTTTTGCACAATATATAACTCAGCAAAATGTTTCAGTACGAGCTGTGGCAATTCTTGCGAAGTATATCTTGATTTTATTTAATTGCAATTCATGCTAAAGGTGATTCAGAACATTGATGATGATTCATGCCAAGATAATGTCATCCAATAAACGCCTAAACGAAAACGTTCACGACAATAAGTAAGAAGACACGATCCCCACGAGTTTGAGAATGCTGATGCAAGTCACATACAAGAGGAGCTTGTAAATGTATCAATGTTTTACAACTCAAACCACTTTTTTTAGAAATACATGTTACACATTAAAATATGAAATGTTGCAGCACACACTAAGTGAGTTTGCTGATGGGTCTGATAGCAGAGGAGCTTGTAAATGTAGGAACATCTTATTATTTGTATTACTGCAAAATAATATGGTCACCATTGGTCACCTTTCTCCGCTGTGTCCTGCTCGGGTAGCGGGTCTTTGCCGGAGACCCAGTTCTATCAGACTTCTCCAGGCTGCTCTGTCCTGGGTATCCTCTTCTTTGACACCACATAGCTGCATGTCTCTCCTGATGGTATCCTTCCACCGATGCTTTGGGTGTCCTCGTTTCCGTCTCCCCTCCACTTGCATCTCATAAACTCTCCGAATGTCTACATCTTCTTCATGCCGGCACACATGTCCAAACCACTGCAGTCTTTTTCTTCTCATCAATTCCAGTATACTCATGACATTGGCTTCTTCTCTTATGCTTTCATTTGTTCTGTGCTCCTCCAGGCTGACTCCAAGACATTAGCGTAGCATACACTGATCTTCTCTCCTAGGTAGTCTGTAACAGGCCATGTTTCATTCCCAAACAGAAGCACTGTGGGCGTATCACCGTTATGTAGATGAGGATCTTCAGTTTCTTCGGCATCTTCTTATCACAGAGCACTCCCGTTAACTCCCTCGGTCACTGGGACATTGCGAGCACCGAAGATGAAAGCCGTGACTAGAGGGGTCTGGGGGCATGCTCCCCAGTTTTAGTTATTTTTAAAATTTTGACCATCAAAAAAGTGATTTTCAGTGTTTTCAAAGTGGAAATATTAATCTCTGCAACAATTAAATCAAACGAAATCACTCAATTTTCACGAGTTTCTATTTTTATTATAAAAATACAAAAAAAAATTACTACGTCGTATTTGAAACATATTTGAAACATATTAATATAGTTTGCACAACTTGTAAAAATTTTTACATTGCTTAATGTCATCAAGGGTGGTGAAATGAAGCTGTTATTACTGGCAATGAAAAGAGAAAGAAGACAGTTTACAAAAAAAAGTACCTTTTTTG